TTGTGTGGTTTTATCTGTGTGTATCGCGTTTTATTGAAGTCTATTAATCTTCACAATTATAGCTGTGTTTCGTAGAATAGAACTTCTAAGGCGGACAGAGGTGCGCAGGCTTTTAAATGCAGAGTTACTAGCTAAAGCGTCCAAAATATTATGTAACTAACTCTGTCTTCTTAAATTTGCTCCTTTTCAAAAAAAGCCTTTTCCAGACGGATATACGTTCGGAAATGCAGAGCTGCTGGACATTTTTATCAACACCAATCGGGCAGAGGCGGCTGTTAAACAGCATATATTGGAAAAGAATTGGCGAATATTTTGTTAGAATGAATTTCTAAATTTTTATACCCAAGCGCACTTGTGCACAAGGGTATTAAAGCTTTGTTCACATAAGGGTTGTTTGTAACAGCTAAAACGAATCGGAATAGATATATACAAATATATGCGATAACTCCAGCAAAAATTTAGATATCTCAGCGAAATTTGGTATGTAGGTTGCTCCTTATCCAAGGTAGGTTGGTCTTGAAAATGGGTGATATCAGACTGTAGCCACGCCCACTTTTCATATAACGGTATTTTCGAAAAATGCACAAACTGCGATATTTCACTAAATAGTTGCAGGTTCAATTTCTTGAAAATTAGTAAGTGAAGTAGAATTTTGGTACAAAATAATATTATTATGAATTTTTTAGAAATGGGCGTGACCCCGCCTACTTAGGATTAAATTCTGAATCTCAGTAGCCTCTTAACCAATTCTTACCAAACAGTACGAGCCTTGCTTAGGGCCCTACTAAGAAATATGTTGAAAATCTTTGAAACCGGGTAACCACGCCCACCTCCCTATAACGGTATTTTCGAAAAATGCACAAACTGCGATATTTCACTAAATAGTTGCAGGTTCAAATTCTTGAAAATTAGTATGTGAAGTAGTATTTTGGTACAAAATACTATTATTATGAAACTGTTGGAAAATGGGCGTGACTCCGCCTACTTAGGATTAAATTCTGAATCTCAGTAGCCTCTTAACCAATTCTTACCAAACGGTACTAAGGGCCCTACTAAGAAATATGTTGAATATCTTTGAAACCGGGTAACCACTCCCACCTCCCTATAACGGTAATTTACAGTAACTACTAAAGCTAATTCACTCAAAATCGAAGATTGCAATAACCACTGAGCAGAAAATTAGATTATTATAGATTTTTGGATAATGGGTGGAAAAGAAATTCGTTGAAAGTTATTCAAATCGGACTAAAGTTACACCCGCTTCGCTGTTAATACTTATAACAATCTCTTCAAAATTATTAAGACTAAAAGTCTAGGAATTAGGCGTGGCACCGCCTACTTTATGACTACAAAGGTGTATCTGGGTAACCGCTTTATAGGTTTCTACCAAACTTGGTTCAACTATTTCATTAAGTCTAACTCAGCATATTATCGAAAACGTTTGAAATCGGAAAGAAAGTTGAAGCGACGATATTTGATACCTGCGCCGGGTATATACATATCAAATAAAACACCTCTTTGAGGTAAAATTTTCGAGTGACGAAAACTGAACTAGAAACACAAAATTTATGATATCAATTTCGTGACGAAAATTATACGCATTTTTTAACTGCCTTTCAAACTTAGGGAAAATCTTTTTTATTCAGACGAATCGTTGCAAAAGTTCTGTTTTTTTTTTTAAATTGTGTTTCTAGCATTAAACGGATATTCGCAACGTTCCGAATAAATACAAAAAGATTTTCCGTACGTTTGAACGGCAGTTAAAAAATGCGTATAATTTTCGTCACGAAATTGATATCATAAATTTTGTGTTTCTAGTTCAGCTTTCGTCACTCGAAAATTTTACCTCAAAGAGGTGTTTTAGTTGATATCAATTATCTTGAGGTAGCAAATTTAAAATCGACGAAAATACAAACAATAAACTAAAGGTTTTATTTTTCTCAAATAAATTGCTAAAAATATTCTCTAAATCTGAAAGCTGTATTCAAATCGATGTGTCCATTGAAACATAGCTTTTCGAATACCGAATAAAGCGGAAAAGGATGATCAAGCATATGATGATATCAAGGATGATATGTATTCGAAAATATAAAAAAAAAGAAATGATAAAAACCTATCAACTTGGTACCAACTTTGTATACAATAAACAACTGTATACGTCTGATTGCCTCGTAGTCTACTTGTTGTTAAGATTTCTACTGGGTGTGGGGCGCAAACATGCGCTTTTTTTTGAGAAGTTTTACTTCTATCACGTGTACGGTGTTGCACTCGTGCTATTAAACTAATGATTTTTTCTCAAGTAAGTGACAATTTATACATATGTATGTAAGTATTAGCGGCACATTAGGTGAACTAAATGCATTCATTTATACATATTTATGTACAACTATAGGTAAATACCAGGTAGGTTAAGTGCGGGTGATAAACCCATGTAGCATAGTTAAATACTGTGTACATACCTGCAATTAAAATGGGGAAGAATGTTACAATTTCGGCATGTGACTGAAAAAAAACTCTAAAATACACACAAATTGTGGTTTCCAAGACATGTACGAAGTGATTGGCACAGCTGCATCCTTCAACTTGTCAACTCGCGGGAAATTGCCCGATTTGCAGGGATTTTCGGTTTAAGTGGCAATCGGGGAATGGACGATTTTTTTCGGGGAACTGGGTATGTTATTTTTATATCTTAAAGTAACCAAATTAGACGGATAGGTTAATTTTTAACCATTTTACCCTTTTTGGAGCGAATTTTTTTCAATTTGAATAGCAATATCTCCACAACAAGAGTTTTCCCAGATATAAGCTATATACCACATGAAAGCTAAGGTTTTGTGCTAGACTTGTGGAAACTTAGAATAAAATCGACTGACCAGTTTTTGAGAAAATGCCCGAAATCTCTACTTTCATCAGTCCGATTTTTAGTTTTCAGGCGATAGCGTTATGGCGTATTTATATTTTATAATCGCAAAAGATAGCGTTAGATAGCTTGTTTGAAGAACCTTCTACTGATATCAACATCAATGACATGGACTGAGTAGTGCGGCATCAGTGGTAGTTTAAAAAATGGCCTTTTTTCGAATTTCAGGCAGCAGCCACGCCCACACAGGCATACGAATCAAAGCATCCTGGAATAAAACCTTCTTAGTTGTTTGTGTACTTTAATTCCTGAAAGTTTGAAAAAAATTAAATGAGGGTACGTACAGACGCCACATACATACCAAAGCATCTCGTAGTGGAGACACGAACCAAAACACATTTACCTCTATATCTTTCCAACTAGTGGCTTAATATATAAGGTATCGTTTGAAAGGTATTGGCCTATAGAATAACACTAAATATGTTGGGTGTACCCACATGGCCCCTTAAACCGGCAAAAGTAACAAAACGTTTTTTGTTTCGCAACACTTTAGCCTAATTTTTAAGAATCCGGTTAATCGTTTATGAAGCTTGAATATATTTTCTGGACACACTCTGCAAGACCTTTCCAACGGTATATCAAATATGTCGATTGGACGTCTGGATAAAAACTTCCAAATCTCGTGTATATATAAGCGAGTCATTTCAGCATGCTACTGTTGCTGCTTTCATCACACGCGCGCACTGCCGTGCGCTGTGATAATGCGGTTTCACCCGAATTTATACTTCTTTACTTTTTTAAGTTGACATAAGTAAATTTGGCGCAAATCGATCAAATCGTTTATATGTAACTAAGTCATTTTAGGAGCGAATCATCCGCCCAAACAAATTTAACATAAAATAAAACAGTAACAATTCAATTAATCTTAAATGTTCGTACTTAATAAATTGTTCAAGAACGCACAAATTCACAAAATTATTATTATCGGGGTCGAAGTGTAGGCGTAGTCAAATAAAAAAGAGTAACAAAAACCAAATTCTACTTTAATCTACATAATAAACGTGCAACAATTTACGTCCCTATCTTTAAATTAGTAATTTATGCAAAAAAAAATTAAAAACCCCCATAGTGCAATGCCTATTTCGATGAGGAGTAATACGGCGTTAACTTCATTGAATAAAGATCTTTCAAGGAATGAAAACGTTGCAACAAATTTCAAAAAGTTCGGACCAGTGGCATTTGATCAAGCTGGTCAAATAATGAAAAAGTACCAAAGGATTTGAAAAAGTTGGTTACCATTTCTTTTTTATATCAATTTGAAGTTGGAGAAATAAGATCCCAATAAAAACGTATAATTTAAAAACACATTTTCAAAAGTTAACGGAGCCGGAAGGGAAGGGGATGGGAGGAGTTTTTGGCACAGCTCAATGATCAACTGAAAAAAGTTTTATTATAAATATAAATGGGAACCAACTTTTACAAATGCTTTGGTATTTATTCATATTTTGACCTCTTTTAATGAATACAAATGGTCTCATTCCCATCACTTTTTGAGTATTGCACTGTGAAATTATTGAAATATGTTTTTGAATTAAAAATAGGAACCGAATATTTTATAACAAATTTCAAGATACAACAAAGTATGTTTAAACTCTATAAAAGTCCCTGCTTACTTTGATTACCCAGATCTCTTTAGCGTGTTGCAAGATGGCTGATCGGTTCTTCTCTTAATCTGCATGCATTTGCAGAGCTTCCGTAAAATATTTCTCCTCCAATAAGCTGAGAATATAGTTTGTCCAGCTCGTGGCATAAAAGACGACTCAGTACTCCCCCAAACAAAATTAAGTTAGGTGTGGTTTTGTCAAAATTAGCATTGCTGTGCATTTTATACTTAAATTGAATAATGAAAGAAAATTTTAACAGTACAAAAGTCCCACCCGTGACCATGGAATACCCCTTAGACCTTGTAAATCGACGGAATATTAAACAAATCTTTGTACAAGACATTGTTTTTTTAATTTGAAGAAGGGTGCATAATATCAATAAGAGAGGTACATTGGGTTAGGTGTAAGCTTCATAGTCTATAAGTTGATTAAATTAGTTTTTAATTGAAGTTCGAAAAAATATTTAATTTTCTTAGGTGCTCGAGCAGTGTGGACTTTATGGAGACAAAACTGCTAAAGGATATGTCGAAAAAAACTTTTTTCACAATCACCCATCTTCATACTTATCGCACTACTGGAACGATTTAGCAAGGTGAGTTAAAAAGCAAATACATTAAAATTTAAGCACACAAAACCGCAGAAAAAGAACCTGTAATTCTGAAACAAAGAGCAATAATTTCATTTCATTTTCATTTATTCATTTTTGTTGCTGGCTTTACATAAGACTTAAGTCTTTTAAGCACATCATGTTTACACAATATTACGAGTACATATCGACCCCTTTGCGGAAAATAATCGTATGTTACAAAAACCAAATTTTATAGGAAAGTGTTCTTTGTATTTTTCTCTGCTTTGGCTAGCACCATTAATACCAAAGTTTAGCTTTGCTGAGATAATTGAGAAATATAACTAAACACGAGCTTTTTTTTGTAGGGTCGCTACATTCTAATTTCTTAGCACATACGATAATTTCACCCACAAGAAAAAGTGCATTGTCACATACGATACAATTTTTGGAGTTGCTATTGAGAATTAAGCCGTAATATTTGAACAAGTGATGCTTTATTGTTATTTATTGGTCGATATTAGTATACAATATTTTCACTTCTAGCTAAAAGAATTTACTTATTCAAATTGTTTTGGTAAATTAATTTAATTAAGTTAAAAAAAATGCACTTTGAAACAATAAAAAGGGATTGGCTTAAGGTTAACTAAATAGTCAAATAAATACAGTAGTGCCTTAGAAAGCGAAAAGAATAAGTAGAAGAAAATTCAAAAGTTTAGATATTTAAGCATTTAAACACCTTTAACTTAAAGCGCTAGTATCTTGAATGGATTTTACAAAAATCGGTAGTGAATTTCATATTTTGACAACACTGACAAAAAACATTCTAGAGGAAACATGGTCACTGTGCTTTGGTACGATAAGGCTACAGGTTCTAGCTGATTGTGCAAAGGTTAGCTTTTTAAAAAGGTATTCATTAGACGCCAAATCAGGAATGTATGGCGGATGACCCATTAATTCGATGCTTTTGAGTGCTTAAAAAATAATTTATTTAACTAGATGTGTAAGAGCTGGCATTGTCTTGATTAGGGATGCACAGCAGAGGTGCACGCAGTCGACGTCGCGGGCAAACTGCGAGCACGCGAGCGTGCTAGGCGAGGTGAAGTGAACTGTATGGAGATGGCAACGTATACATATCAACCACTACACACTTATTTTCAAGTAAAATTGCGTGTATGCATGTGTACTTTTGCGAGAACTGAGCCAATGTGGCATCAGGCTACCAGAAAAAGCCAATTTTTCCAAAATAAAAGCGCCAAGTTTTTATTATCATGTTTAATAATTTTTTTGATTCAGTAAGTAAGTAAGTGTATATACATATCCATTTCCTCACGTTTTTATTAATAAATTAATTTCAATATATTTATAACAACGCAAAACATATTTAAGTTACCTATCCCTCACATTTTATTCAGTAAATGAATTCCATCTTAATGTAGAATATTAGTGTATAGTGTATACATACATACATATGTACCTATGCATTCAGTGTGCTTAAATAAAAAAAGCATCCATAGATAACGCACCAAGCATTGAATTCCAATTATTTTAGCTTTTTGGTTTCCCAAAAGCACTAAATTTAGTGCAAAACGCACGACCTTGGCAACAGTGATTCACAAACTTATCTTAGGACTTAATTAAAATTCTCAACATTATTCGTAGAGGAATATATTTGTGTTCGTATGAAATAGTAGCTTATGTCGGGAGGCTGGCTTTAGTAAAATGTACCATTTCCTATATTCTTTAAACCACAAGGAATTTTTTTATGAGACTGTATACGAATATTAACTTGCTAGCACCGCAACTGCCTTTTTTACGTTTATTTTCCAAGAGTTCTTCACCGACTCGGCGCCAGTGAGTCTTTCGCAATCGTATACTGCGAATGGTTCATTATACTAAAGCCAGTCTTCCGACATAAGGTACTATTCTATACGAACACAGATATGTATACTTCCTAATAGGCTTGTAAAATGCCCAATACCCAAATCCCTCGCATGAGTTATTATCGGTCAAAAATTGGGTACGCTCAAATCTGGCATCGCTGCAGCAAGTACAGCGCCAGTGAAACAGTGTTGATATTTTAAGTACAATTGTACTTTTTTCAGTACAATTAATTTTAAAATGCACAATGCCGATTTTAAGTATAATTTCAACATCAAAAATACTTTTTGCACCAAGCGCTCAAATCTCTTCTATCAGTTTGATTCTTAATCCGTTTACGTTTAACTAAATGGATATACCTATATTTCATATTTGCTTCATATAGAAACAATGTCTTCGTTAATTAAAACAAGAGATTTTCTTTGATATAATAACTTTACGGCACTCACATATTGATAAGATTTTCTTCTTCTTAATTGGCGCTGTAACCGCCTATGCGATTTTGGCCGAGTCCAAAACAGCACTCCAGTCATTTCTCTTCTGTGCTAACTGACGCCAATTGGAAATGCCAAGTGAAGCCAAGTCCTTCTCCACCTGGTCTTTCCAACGCAGAGGAGGCCTTCCTCTTCCTCTGTTACCAGCATCGCGGCCCGCGTTGAATATTTTCAGAGCAGGAGCGTTTCTGTCCATTCGAACGACATGGCCAAGCCAGCGGAGATAAGATTTTACTATTTATTTTATTTATTATTTTTTGTAAATTTTATTTATCTTTTTATAAAAATGTAATTTGTTCTTTAACAAATCTACATAAATTTAAGTTTAATACTTTGTGCAACATTAAAAAAATATACAAGCTTTCGTAAAAATTTCGAGGTTTAAATTTTAGTATAGTAAATTGCAAGTTTAAAGTAGCTGGGGCTTACCGCTGATTTTTGGCAATTTCTTATTTTTTTTTTGTTGACGATATGAGTAATTTTTTCCATACGAAGTGTGTTTGACGATTTTTTTATATGGAGAAAATGAGCAACTGCTTCATCAAAAAAAATCTTAAAAGACTTTGTTATATTAAAACTGAATGGGCTACAAAACTGCATACTCAAAATATTTCTAGGAAATCTAATTAAAAAGCTCGAAATTTTTACGAAAGTGTGTTGATTTTTTTAATGTTGCGAAAAGATTGAACCTTGGATTTTTTTAGGTATAACCTGTATTTTTATAAAAAAAAATACATAAAATTAAGATAAATGCTCAAATCTTGTCAATATGTGAGTGTCGTAAAGTTTTGATAAGCACTTGAAATGCTATTAAAATGTCAAAACTTATTACCGAATCCAAAAAGATGTATCTTTTATCCATTAATAATAACTTTGTTGTTGAGTTTGTGCTAGCGCTTTTACGAAAATGCTTGTTGACGGCAATAAAATCAATAAAAGCACATGAGGGTTCGACACTAACTGACGGTATGCAGTTTTATAGTCGATTCAATTTTAGTATTATAAAGTGAAAGTGCAGCTAAGAATTCATGTTGATTTTTAATATGTTTTTGCATTTTCTTTATACAAATTGGATGTACAAAAATTTCAGTATGGAAGAAAAAGTGCAATACCTTCAACGAAAAAAGTTCTCAAAAATCTACGCGAATGGAATGTACTATCTCGATCATTTAAACATCTCGGACTCGCCCACCACTAAAAATGATCATTTAAATCTAAAGAATATATTAAATGATATTTAATATTTGCTTTAGAGACGAAATTTCGACAATTTTGTTTAAACAAAAATGTTAAGCGCATATGCAGAATGTGTGAGATTTTTCTGCTTGCGGTGCTATGTTTATATCATTTATCAGTTTAAGCACATACGATTAAATGTAAAATAAATATTTTTAATCGGGGATCCGAAAGAAATATTTATTAGTTGCACTGAGTTACGCAAAAATAGTGTCGAAAATCAATCGATTGTGCTGAAGTGCCGGCTGCTTCCGAAAGGGCCGAAAATGGCAAAATGCACACTCATTTTCCATAACTGTCACACATACAATCTCACTATTCTGTTGACTTCGTTTTCCCCTTCCGATAACTTTTTGCTTCCGCGCTTGCCTAGCTCCGCTGTGCAAAGCTTTGCACGCGCAGTCGCCCGCGACACATATGTGCTGATTTGGGCATCCCTAGCCTTGATGGAAGAGCATTTTTCGTATTTCATTGTCGTTCCTCCAATCGCCCACGATTTTTGCCGAACATTGTATGCCACTCAGAATTAACTTTTCTACGTTCCTAACGCCACTATGTCCACATGACCCGTTTTTACGAAGAATCAGGCGACCATTTGTTCCAAAAAGCCTTGGGTTGGTTTTTATTTTATTTTGAAAGATCCGTACAGCTGATTAGCCTTTTCTTTCTACCTAATATGCATATGAGCAAATCTCACGAGTTCTTATTTTTAGTTTCACTCTCTTCTCTTGACAAAAATAAATAGCGCAAAGCATTCCTCTTGTATTTATTTAAATCAATGGAGTCCCAGAAACAACTACAATAAAAAATAAATCAAGTATTTGAAGAAATTTAGCCTTCAAACGTTTATTTAAGCGAAAAGATACCGAAACTACGCATTTTTCCATTGCCTCCCGATAAAATCATTATTGTTTTTTTAATACTTTTGGAAAGATTTCAAATAGAATGTTGATATTAGAGGCATGGAAGTTGGGGTCAAATATAATATATCTGTGAAGTTTAGATAGTGTCCCACCAAATTAAAAAAATGGCAGCATGCGGAATATTTGTTGCTCCTATGCTGTAGTTTCTGTAATTTTACGATTATTTAAATTTAACAGTAGATAAATACTTAAAAACGTTACCATTAAACGGTGAAAATGTTCTTCTTACAAAAACGAATAAATTTACAATAATAAGACTAGTTTGCCACCAAATGAAAAAAGTTACATTGAGTATAAGATGACGATGATTTGGCGAAACAAAAATTCAAATTTAAAATTTTTTATTGGCACAGTCGAAATTCATCCCAAAATTGTTATATACATTGCGAGGACTAAATATCCACGGAATTTAGCCCACACGAACGCCGCCCCCCTACACCAGCAGCAACGACTACAACAAAACATTCCCACGACAGCCGGTTGTACGTACCGG